TCGCACATCCAGAAACTGGGTAACTGCTTTCTCACAGTCATTTAATTTGTTCCTCTATCCTCACTTTCCCTCTAAACTGGCTATTAGATCTAAGGTTCTATTATATTTGGGTTCAATTTTTATTTAATGGGGGGAAATTTTCATAGACAGTGCTACGTACTTTCTACTATCACATCACAAGGCATACAATGTCAGGTTGCTCATCAAGGCACTGCCAAGCAATCAACCTAGGTCCTGAAGCCAGGAAGTCTCTAGCCCTCAAGGAGGTTGGAGGGAGCTGAGATTCATACTGGAATTCTTAACCACTATGGCAGATACAGGAAACTCTGGTGGCATAGTGGTTAAGAGCTATGGCTGCTAACCAAAAGACTGGCAATTTGAATCCACCAGGTGCTCCTTGGAAACCTTATGGGGCAGTTCTACTCTGTCCTATAGGGTCGCTATGAGTTGGAATTAACTCAACGGTAGTGGGTTTGGTTTTGGTTTACGGCAGATATAAACATATATGTATATAAGGCTCTACACTTCGGTTTCTTTCTTTTGTGGGGAAAGGACTTTTTTTTGGGGGGGGCGGGGGAACTGAAGACATTTAGACCTAATCCAATTCCCTCATTTTGCAGATAAAGAAACAGAAGCAGAGAAAGCATGGGGTTTGCTTGTAGCCACACTGCTGGTCATAAGCAGAGTCAGAAGTGGAATTAACACTTGCAATAATAGTGATCATTTATTAGAAAACTTAAAATAGAAAATTATTATTAAATTAAATATACAGCACTTATTAGGTGCTTACTCTGTGCCCGGCACTATGCTAAGGGCTTTATAAACATTACCTTAATTCTCACAATCCTTTGAAATACAAAAACAAATAAACAAAAAATCCACCGCCATTAAGTTGATTATGACACAGCAACCCTATAGGACAGAGTAGAATTGCACCATAGTGTTTCCAAGGCTGTAAGTCTTTATGGAAGCAGACTGCCACATCTTTCTCCTGCCGGGCTGCTGGTGGGTTTGACCTTTCGGTTAGCAGCAGAGTGATTAACCACTGCACCAATCATTCTCATTTTGAGGAAGAGGGAATGGAGGCTTGGAGAGACTGAGTAATTCACTCAAGATTACACAGCAAGTTAGAAGCAGAGCTGGGACTCAAAGTACAGATTATGATTCCAGAGTCAGAGAACTTACTTCCAGTCCACTTCCCGTGGTGGGAAAAAGAGGACCAGGATCTGAAGCAGCTCTGACGCCGTGAAGTCACAGAAGACTGATGCCCCAACTACTACAACTAGGGGAATCTGGAGGAGGGCCCAAGTCCAGGAAGGAAAGCAGAAAAGGAGAGCAGACGTTTATCTGGGGCCAACTCAGAGGATCCCTAGGGTTGCTGTGGGTTATCGGGACTATAACCCTTTTTATTTTGTGCCATCAGTGTGTCGCACTTCAAAAGGCCACAGAAAAACATGATGCCTAGACCCTGACCGCCCCCCCGCCCCATGACTTTTCTTTAAAGTGAGAAAAAGAGCAACAGTTTTCTGACCACATCAAGTTAAAGAGGAATACACAACTAACCCACTGATTATCCTGCTGGGGTGGGTGGAGGCTTGTGATGATGATACACTCTCAAGTCTCAACCCACCACGTGTGCAGCAGCCACAGCAAACTTCTAGTTCAGTTAGGCTGGCCTTCCACTGCAGCCCTGAGAGCACATGTGCACTCCTCCAAAAGATAATCTTTATACAAGACAAATAAACAATTAAAACATTTTTTAAACATTCATCATGCCACATTCCAAGCAAAAATAGCCAATTATTTGGGTCACCAACCTTTTAAGATTATGCATACCATGCCCTTCATGACTGTGGACAAGCCAATGCCCATTTCTAAGGAAACAGATTCCATATAGTTCATGGCATACTGATACAATACCAGACGACTGCATTCTCCAACTCCCTCATTTTACAGGTAGAGAAAACAGAGACCCAGAACGAAGAAGCCTCTTCAGGGAAGTCCCACAGTCTCCCAACATCTAACAGCCACCACATGTCAGACACTGGGCTAAATCCTTTACAATGCTTACAAGTAGTATCATAATGAATAGTCATAATAACCCCAGGAGGCGGGTAAATCATAATTTAATCTGCACTATACAAATGGAGAAGCTGAGGCACAAAACGGTTAAGTAATTTGCCCAAGGAGGCATGGCTAGCAAGTGAGAGAACGGGCACTTGAACCCATGAGGTTTGACCACAGAACCTTTGCTATATATTATCTTTCATACTTAAAAGGGGTGTGACTAGAATAAGGGAAAAAAATTTTTTTTTAATGTTTTCAAAACACTTGGGTGGGGGGCGGGGGATCCAAAAAGCAAATCCCAAAAACTTAAAATAACAAACGTAGACTTAGAAGCTTAAACCAGAATAGAGAACCCCACAAGAAAGGAGAGATTTCTCAAAACATCTTTTATTACTAGTTACTGCATATGTCCCTTAAACAACTAAAACACTAGCATCTGAGCCAAAAGGAAGACTAAAAATAGGCATTTGCAGCAAGCTTTGGGAAGCTTGTAGCTTGCTTATGAGGCATTCCTTCTGCAGAGTCCAAAAACACATGCATCACAGAACACAAAAATTCACAAGACCACACAGCCACTCCACTGGTGTCACATTTAAACTTGTCCAAGCTGCAAATAAAATCAAGGCTGGAAAAGGGCCTAAGAGGTCCATGCAGACTCCAGAGAAAGCCACCACCTAATCACCCAACAGACAATCCAATCACAGAATTTTCTCTTAAAAAGCACTCAAGTCCTAACAACAGGCTTAAACAGAGAAGCTACTGGATTAATTTAGAGTTAATCTGTCAAAGACCACTCCAAAGGTCCGAAACCAACTCTCCTGCCTTAAAGTTCCAGAAAAACAAGGACAGGGCAAATCTACCCCACTAAGAATTTTAATTTTGCTTTGCGCACTTTAGACTGCTTCTCCACTCAGAGAGGAAAGCAAGATGCCAGCCAAGCTGTCTTCTTCCCACGATCAATAATCCCAGTGACCTATAAAGGGCCCTGGACTTGTACAAAATGCCAGCTCAGGCACTCAATACCACTTGATGTCATGGCTGATTTAAAACCCACAAGGCAGGTTCACCATAAGCTAAGCAGCAGCCGGGGTGAGAAGCCCCATTTAAACTTCTGAAGAGTCCTCTCTCTTGGGGATGATTATACCCGTTTGAGTTTAAAGGGGGTTGGGGGAGGACCAAAGAGTGTCTTAAAGTTGCTTTCCCTCCCTCTGTGGATCAGGGAAGGATTTGTAAAAAAAATGGAGGTTTCAGCACTACCCTCTGCATAAGAGGGTTCTAGAAGGGGTATGGGGGAAGAGTAGGAGGGCAGAAGGAAGAAAACACGGTTTGAGGCATTATTAGTAAACCCCAAATGTCCCCTCCTCCAAATGAAGCAACCTTAAAAGAAATAAAAATTGCAACACTTCGTTTTCAGGTTTGGTTATGGTAGTTTCCCTAAGACTTAAAGTGATCTTACTCCCTTTTATATGAAGGCATAAAGCTGCCCCTTCAACTTTCCCCATTTTGATCTTTTAAACCACACTGCCTCAATCAGCACTGCAGAAAGAATTTTGAAAAAGCACTACGGCTAAGGCCACGGGCCATCATTCTAATCGCAAACAAGGTTTGAACACTCGCCCACACCAAAAGGATCCAGAATTAAAGAATCGAGATCCACTGTGGCCCCGAGCCCCGGCAAAGCGGGGAGGGAAGGCGCGCCCCCCCATCCAAACTGACGATCTATTCCTGGCAAAGAGAGGCCAAAAGCAGACTCCATATTCCGCACCGCCTCCCTCCTCACGCTGACGAGGCTCTGCTGGGATTTCCTGCACGCCCCCATTTAAAAGACTGGATCCAAAAAGAGTAAAAGAAAGAAAGAAAAAAGCAATCGAAGGGAACACTCCGGGAGCGCCCGGGGCCAGGGCTCTGGGAGAGCCGGTCGGCGGTCACATGCCGCTCCCCGAGCGGAGAGGCACCACGTTGTCCCGGCTGCGGAGGAATGCCGGGAACGGGGGACGCGCACTCACACTCACGCACACGCACACTATCACCCGGAGCGCGATGACCCGCGCGGAACGCAGAGGCCGAGCGGCCGCGAGCAGCCCGCGGGCCACCAGCGAGGTGCATGGCGCCCAACTGTCACCCACCCGCCTAGCCCGGCCACTCCCTCCCCCGCCGCCACAACCTCCTCGTGTCGCCGCATATTTTCCGCCAACCCCCTAAATGGATCCCCTCCACACTCGCCATCGGCTCCCTCTCAAGGCGGAAGGCCCCCGGAACCCGGGAGAGAAACTACCGAATTCAATGACCCGTTGGGTTTCCTCCTCGCCCCCTTCTCCCCGTAACTGACCCCTCAACCCGTCTCCAAATGGCGGTTCTACCGCCTACTATCATCTACTCGAGAACAAAACTTGTTAACTTTTAAATCGCTAATCCGTGTGGTCGGTATGAACTCATCGCTGGGCGCTTTGCTACCCATGACATATGCTCATTAAACATTTACAACGTGGGGACTATTGCAACGCTACGAAAACGGGGAGCGTGGGGCGGGGTGAAAAGAGGGGGCTTCCCGAGTAAAGGAGGTTTAAACCAGAAACCATCTCTTACACCAACACGCGGTGGGAGAATGAGGACCATTTTCACCGAAGCCAGCGCCCACTCTCTCCCGGCGAGGTAGGCCCGGACCACGCCGTTGCCCACTAACCGCTGCGGCCCAGGCGGTGGCCGTGGCCTCCGGGAGGCCAGGCCTCGGGCAGGAATAGGTTCCCTAGTGTGTGGTGGAAGCAGGGCGCCGCGACCCGAATGAGGCAGGAGATAATTAAAAAAAAAAAAAAAAAACCCGAGTCACCACGACCGGTGGCGGACCCCCAGGCCCTGGAAACCGCTGGGGGAGGGGACGCCCATGTCCCCGGAAGAGGCCCCCCGGACCCAGAATAGCAGGCTGGGAGACCTACCTGGAGGGGACTGTCCGTTCACCGTGGCCAGGGCCTGCGGCAACGCGTTCTTAGTCCACGGGTTCACCTTGGGCGGGGGGGCCTCCACGAAGTCTCGCCGCCCGCCGCCCCCCGCAGCTCCGGTTGCTCCTCCGCCAGCGCCCGGCTCGCCGCCGCCGCCCTCCTCCCCGTCGCTGACGGCCGGGCCTTCGGCGCCTGGCGGCTGCGGCGGCTGCGGCGGCCGCGGACTCTCGCGCTCCTGTTGCCCGGTGCCCTCCTTGTACGGCTTGGCGCAGGGCAGCCGGGGTCTCCGAGTGCCGCCGTCCGGCTCCCCGACTCCGACGTCGTTGGCCCCAGGCTCGCCCTTGCCCTCGGGCGGCGGCGGCAGCTTCTTCCTCACCAGCCCCCCGTGCTCTTCGGCCTGCAAGAGCGGGGCGCCCCCCGGCAGCAGCGGCTCCACCTGAGTGGCCATCTGCGCGCCCGCCCCCCCGGAGAAGCCGGGCGCGCCTGAGGCTGCCTCCCCCGCCTCGAACTTGGCTCGCAGAACGCCCGCGACTCCTTCCTCTGGGGCGCTGGGCCCCAGTCCCTGCAGAGAAGGGTCGGGGTTCACGCTAGGAGAGGCCCCCCCTTCCGGTCGAATGCAGCCGCCGTAGATCCAAGGCCGATGGCGGGGCGGGGGGGGTGGGGGAAGGAGGGCCCCCCACTCTGCGGTCCAGGCCTCCTCGGCGCACGTCCCCCCCCCGCCCGTTCCTCGTATGGCGCCCCCACCCCGAGGTCGGCAGGCTTCTCGTCCCGTCCCTCCCTCCCCCCCGCCCCCGGGGCAGCCCGGGCTTCCCGGCTCGGGGGCTGCAGCAATATGGACGGACGGGGGAGAGGCGCGGCAAGCCGAACAGACCACGCGATCCGCGGCAGGCGGAGGGCGGGCGCGCGCCTCGCGACGCGGCGGGCGAGGGAGGGGACGACGCAGTGGGAGCGCGCCCGCCGGGGCCAGCTCTTGACGACGGGCGGGCAGAGGCGACGGGAGCGCGCGCGCGAACGGCCTCGCGTCCCCGCCCCTCGTCCTGCCCCGCCCCTCGCTTCCAGTTCCTCAGAGCACCTCCCTGGCTAGGGTGGGGGCGCTCAGACAGGACGGGGGCGAGCACGTGCCTGATGCAATTCGGTAGTGGGGGGGCAGTCAAAGCGGGTAGGAGAGATGGGGGAAAGAAGAGGGAGGAGTCTTAAAGGGCCAGCGCGTGAGAGCTGCCGCAGGTGGAGCACATGGAAACGGGCCACGCGGCCTGCTCAGCCGGCTTTCGTTTTTTAGGTTGAGTGTCAGGTTCGGGGAAAGGAGCCATGAAAGTCACCCCGCCTTCCAGGATGCTGGTAGGGGGGGTCAGCATCCTCCCTGAAGACGCGCCGACATCGCCCCCTCCCCGCAGCCCTCGATCCAGGCCCCTCCAGGCCCCGCCCGGGTGACCTTGGGCGAGCCGCCTTCACCTCCGTGAGCCGTGCTGGGTTTCTCCCTGCCAGGCCGGTCCGGACGTTGGTGGGGAACCGGGTTCGATTCCAGGCCCGGAAGGCAGGCCTTTACCCCTTGGGCGCTACGGGCGCCTAGGAAGTGGACGTGGAATTACCAAGGCCCTCACCCCAGCCAAGCCCCCGAAACCGAGTATGGGCAGGAAACGGCTTTTCTTGGAAGTGGATTGTTTTTTTCTAAATAGTTGCTTTGGGAGGAATTGAACTAGCGCCAGTTCCAGACTCCAGAGATCTGAGATTTTGTCTTGGTCTTGCCCCTTACCAGCTCTGGCAGTCAGCTCCCCCACTGTGGGCCTCAGTTTCACTATTGTAAAATGAGTGGTCTATGACAGTGGTTTCACACTTTAGTGTACATTCAATTCAGTAAATATTTACTGACCCCCTGCTGCCAGGGCCTCTACAGAGCTAGGAAACAGGGTTTGGTAATAAACCAGGCTAACAAGGCCCCTGACCTCATGGAGCATACATTCTAAGGTGGCGAAAGAGACAAAAATGATAAACAATTTCCTGTGTAGTACTGTGAAGACAATAAACTGCAGTAATAGGCTAGAATAGATTTGTCCTAGTATGGGTGATGAGGGAAGACCTCCCTGAACGCAGATTCCAAAGTGTTCGGAAATCAGGCATGGTCTGGAAATGAACCCAGAAATCTCCATGTCTAACATGACACCCTTCGTACTTCTGCACCAGGTGGTCCCATGCTTCACTTGGAGAAGTTCTGGCCTGTGCATTCTGAGGGTGGCCCAGGTTTAACAGGGCTGTAGTCCCACCTGCTTAACACATAAAAGCCAGGAATGTTGGTGGTCTCCAAAACAAGGATTAGAGGACATGACCTGTTGGACCGGGAAGAGGGCTTACTGGAGAAGACTCTTGTAACTGCCCGGCTTGGTAAGTCTGGGTTGTACATTGTAACCAGGAGTACTGGGGAGAAGTGCTGGAGGGAATAGCCAAGCTCTTCCATATCTCAGCATCTGCCTTGGCTGGCTCTCTACTCTTGCCTGAGGCCCCCTTTCCTGGTGTAAAAATTGAGATCATAATGCCTGACTTGCTCCCACCCTCTGGGCTTTCGTGAGGGAACAAATGAAAATGCTGTGTGAATGACATAGACTGAGGCCAGTGCTTGAAAAACGAAGTATCAAGGAAAGTAATGATTAGAGATCTCCAACTTAAGCAGATTCTTCAAAATTGCATTATATCCACCCTTAATCAGAAAGTTATTTATTGGTAAATATTTCCTGAAAAAAATTATTCACTCTAGACCCTCTCTGGACTTTGTAAAAGGGGACATAGTCACCATTGTTGGTTGTTCTTTTCTGTATTTCTGTAATTGGGGATAGATGGTCCCCCATACAACTTGTTAAGGGGCCAGGTCTCTATGTGGACAAGTACCTGGTTCATGCTACACAGCAGTCAGAGTTGGAGCCAAACAAGCACCGCCAGACCCTGCTATGTAGAGACTGGAAGGGCACAGGGATCCATACACCCCAGGCTTGCCCCAGAGAGGGGCCCTTAAACACCCATGTGCCTTTTTACAGATGGACAAACTGGGCTCAGAGAAGGTAAGATATCTGCACGAGACTACATCTTGAATTTAGAGGCTGTTAGAGGAGGAATCTTAATGATCATTTAATCTCCTTGTTTTGCAGATGAGGAGATTGAAGTTCAGAGAAGTGAAGCTACTTTTCCAAGGTCACACAGCTAGTCAATGGCAGAGCCAGGCCTCACACCCAAATCTCCTGATCCTAAGTCCAGGAGCTTTTCTACATAAAATGGTGGAATTGGGATTTGAATTCAGGTGTTTTGATTCCTGGCCCACTATGGCATTCCATAAGTGTATTCATTTCTAAATACTAATAATGACCGAATAATTAGAGTATTAACAAATGGGTAAGCACTGGATTACCAGTGGAAAAGTTGGTGGTTGAAGCCCACCCAGAGGCGCCTTAAAAATAAGGCCCAGCAATCTGCTTCCAAAAGATCATAGCCTTGAAAACCCTATGAAGTACAGTTCTTCTCTGTACACGAGGGATCGCCATGAGTCAGAATAAAGTTGATGGCAGCCAACAACAATGACTTATATTGAACAATTACTATATGGCAGGTTCTGTGAGAATTGTTTGGTATTCATTATCTCATTTAATCCTCACAATAACCTAATGTTATGGATTAAATTTTGTCCCTCAAAAATATGTGTTGGAATCCTGACCCCTGTGCCTGTAATCCTATTTGGTTGGGAATAAGGTTTTCTTTGTTATGTCAATGAGGCCGTATCAGTATACAGTGTGTCCTAAAAGTAATCACTTCTGAGTTATAAAAAGAACAGATTAGACACAGAAGCAAGCAAAAAAGGAAAATCATCAAGGAATAGATGCTTTTAAGAGGCAAAGATCTTCCCCCTAGAGCAACAGAAAGAGAGCCTTCCCCTACAGCCAGTGCCCTGAATTTGGACTTCTACCCACCTAAACTGTGAGAAAATAAATTTTTGTTCATTAAAGCCAGCCTCTTATTGTATTTCTGTTACAGCAGCACTGAGAAACTAAGATATTTAATGAGATAGGCATTAATTCTTTCCAAAATATCTATTGAGCCTCTACTAGGTATCAGGCACTAGGCTAGGCCCTGGAGCTATTATTATCTTCAGTTAGATGGGAAGGCAACTAAAGTTCAGAAAAGAAAGATGGGTGCCCGGGTCACAGCCAGAAGCTAAGAATCAAAGTGAGGTTTTTCTGGGGCAGTCTAACTCCCCAGGTCTTGTTCTTACCCATCACACCACACTGCCTCCCTTCTCTCTACTGTCCTATCTGCAAGTGTTTATGAAGAAGTCATTAAATACTCAGGCCTGGAAAAGATACAAAAAAGTTGAATTCTATCTCTCCAAAAGGAAACCTCTAACTGGCAGGACTCAAGTAATTAAGCAATATGTGTCCTCAGGCCAAAAAAAGGTAAGATAAGATACACTTTAGACAGAAAGTGACAAGAAATCAAATTAGCTTGTGGCCAGGACTTTTGGGAAAAAAAAAAAAAAGACAAAATCAAACCTAAAAAATAAAAATTATAAAGTGGGTCCAAATACTTGTAATTAATTGTGTGCTTGTTTGCCCCTGTGCAGACAATTTCCTAAGGAGAAACAGAGGAGGCCGAATGAGGGACTAGAGAGCTAGAAGAACTGGTTTATAACCTGGGTCCCATCTCTTTTATAACCTGGGTCCCATGACTTTGAGCAGCCTCCTGAGTGTTCCTGGGCTTTCATTTCTCCGTCCACAGAACGGGATAAATAATATCTGCTCATCTGACTTATGGGTGTGAGGAAAGATGCAAGAATGCAAGGGCTCTTTATAAAGCTTTGTTCTGTCTTTTTAGGAGGGGGAGAGATGGTCCCTTGACTTATTTTATTTAATCCTTATTAGGAAGGAACATTTAACACACCTGGATGTGCAGTTTTATTCATCTTTGAATTTGATTTTCCAAAGACCTTGTGTTTTTGGAAGAACTTGGACTGTATTGCTTATCTTTCTACTGATATCAGGGGCTTTTGGGCTTGAGGCCTCTTTACACTGAGATGGAAAAGGAGGGGCAGGGTCAGCAAAGGGAGGCGGCTTGGCCAAAACAAACACTACCAGCGGGGGACTGTTCTTCCAGACCCTGAACACTCTTGGGCCTTCTGGCAGATGCCATGAAATTACTTCAGTTCATGGGAAGAGACTCTGACAAGATCTCCTCTTGTAAAGTACATGCAAACAGCAATAGCTGAAATACAGAGGGGAGAAAAGGAAAGGGAGAGGGTATTGGCCTGTTCCTACAATACCTTGTTTAACCCTTTTGAGTAAATATGATTATTCCCATTTTACAGATGAGGAACGTGCTAGCAAACCTCTAAAACTAAAGCACTTGACATAATAAAATGGCTGACATGAGGTCTGAATCAAAACTCCATTTTGTTACAAGCCCCTGCTTCTGCATTCCTGAGAATGTAACCTTGACTTCTTCCTGGTCATATGCATATGGCCTTGGGCCTCTGGCTGGATACGGCCAGAAGACCCTGGCCCCTACCAATCATATTGTTTAACCCTGCCTGGCACTTGCTCAAAGTCACTCTTAAGGAAATAAAGGTGGGGGTCAGGAATGTGATTGT